GGACTGCACCCCCCACCCTCCCTGTGCTGCTGTCTCTGGGAGCAGGGGGTGGGAGGGCAGGCAGCTCTGGAGCCAGCTTTTAAGCCAACTCCTCTTGGCATCACCCTGCACCTGCCAGGGTCAGAGGAGTCTCAGCAGCCTGGGGTGCCGGGATCATTTCTGCCCATCCACGGGCAGGTCCCCTCTCACTCACATGTTCCTTTCTTCTTTCAGTGGGGTTATCTGGCCACTCTCCAGCTGCGCGGGGCCCCTGCTGCCCGGATTGCTGGCTTGGCTACCAGGGGAAATGCTTCTATTTCTCCACGGCTGAGGGGAACTGGACCAACAGCCGGAGCCGCTGCTCTGCCCTGGGGGCCTCCCTGGCTGGGATTGACACCCTGCAGGAAATGGTGAGAGACTCGTCGCTCTGGCCTGGCCTGGGCTCTGCCCTGCATATGAAGAGCAGCCCAGGGCCAATGGACTTTCCAGCCACTGAATACCCGGCCTGGCTGGGCCCAGGGCCCCTCTGGTGTCAGTAACAGGGGGATCAGCCACTGTCAGGCCTCTCAGCAGGAGAAGCTCCTCTGGGGCTGGGCTGCCTGGGGTTGGAGGGGGCTGAGACCCCAGCACTGCTGGAAGAGCCAGTGCCCCTCGGTAGGGGAAGAGCAGCTAGCTGACATGGAGGAGGGGTCCTCTTAGGCCTGGCCCCTCCCAGCACTGATCATCTCTCTCCTGCCCCACAGAGGGCTAGAGGGAGCTCAGCTGCAATGTAAGGCAAGGTTTTCACACAGAGCTTGGCCCAGGTGGGGCTTAGGACCCAGCAGCTCCCAAAAGCAGCCACAGCCCTGGGGAGGTTGGGGTGGGGGGAGCTGGGTTTGGTGGGGGAGGGTTAATACAGAATTACCCAGAGCTGGGTGAGGAGGAGGGGCAAATCTGCAGCCCCCGTGTGTGCCCCTGGGATTCCCTGCCCAGAGCCGGAGAGCAGGAGGGTTGAGTCCTGACACTCCCTCCCCTCCCCTCCACTGTTCTAGGCTTTCCTGCTGCGGTATAAAGGCAAACCCTACCATTGGATCGGCCTCCGGAGGGACCCGGGGCAGCCCTGGAAATGGACCAATGGCACCAAATTCAACAACCTGTGAGTCTTTGCCTCCCATCTCTGTGAGCTCCCTGGGCTTTGGGTCCCTGATGTCTGAGGTGCCAGGTTCAAGCCGAGCCCCCAGTCAGTGCTTTGGAAGCAGCCAGAGAGCACTTGGGAGTGTGTGCGCTCGGAGTGTTAGGGACAGGTGCCAGCCAGTGTCTCCTCCTGTGAGATGGGCCAAAGTCTCCTTGTCTGTCTGGCTGTTATGAGGCTCTTGAATTTGTAAGGCAGCCTTTGGCAAGATCTCTCAGCAGAGGCTGTTAAGCAAAGTAAAGCTCTCAGGGGATAAGAGGTCCTGTCATGGATCAATAACTAGTTAAACCAGAAGTGGGCAAAATACAGTCCACAGCCCGATCCGGCCTGCCTAACATTTCTATCTGTCCTGCTAAAAGTCCTATAGTGTCGTGGGGGCTCAGAAGGGCGGGCTGGCTGCCGTGCTCCTACACCTCTCCTGGAAGCAGCTGGCTGTGGCTGGAATGTCTGTACAGTGCCCCCTGGCCAAGGTGGGGCCTTCAGCCTTCTTTTGGTTAAGGTAAACAAGCCAAGTTCCTTGAGTCTCCTTTCATAAGATAGGTTTTCCATTCCTTGGATCATCCTAGTGGCCCTTCTTTGTACCTGTTCCAGTTTGAATTCATCCTTCTTAAACATGGGAGACCAGAACTGCACACAGTATTCCAAATGGGGTCTCACCAATGCTTTGTATAACGGCACTAACACCTCCTTATCCCTACTGGAAATACCTCGCCTAATGCATCCCTAAACCATATTAGCATTGTTCACGGCCATGTCACGTTGACGGCTCATAGTCATCCTGTGATCAACCAGGACTCCGAGGTCCTTCTCCTCTTCCGTTACATCCAACTAATGTGCCCTCAGCTTATGACTAAAATTCTTGTTATTAATCCTTAAATGCATAACCTTCCACTTTTCACTATTAAATTTCATCCTATTACTATTACTCCAATGTACAAGATCATCCAGATCTTCCTGTATGATATCCCAATCCTTTTCTGAATTGGCAATAGCTCCCAACTTTGTGTCATCCGCAAATTTTATCAGGACACTTCCACTTTTGGTGCCAAGATCAGCAATAAAAAGATTAAATAAAATTGGCCCCAAAACTGATCCCTGAGGAACTCCGCTAGTAACCTTCCTCCAACCTGACAGTTCACCTTTCAATATGACCCGCTGTAGTCT